TTCACATGAACTTCATTCCATTGTAGGTTGGATCTCTTTGGTGCCCTAAAGCATTGATAAAAGGCAGGGTTCCAATTTCCAAGATATTCAGCAGTGGACAGGTAAAATGGTGGAACTCCCTTCCTTCCTTGAATCTTTCCTCCCTCCCTTGTTCTTTTTCAACAAGTTCATTGATGCAATTGTGAAAAGAAAAGTAATATTAAAATGTTTTAGATGGAGGGAAATGAAAAAATAAATTGATTTAATCTTTACAGATCTTTATATCTATTCACAAGAAAAACAAGTTTACCCAAATGATGCATTTGAATAACATGCATTTGAATGTTAAATTGAGATCCCACTCTTGCTTTTTTTTCAGGTGCCGACAAATGTACCAAATGTCCAGATGATCAACATCCAAACATCAATCGAGTTCATTGTATCCCCAAGATTAAAAGTTATATTTCTTATAAGGAAAGTCTGGGGATCATCCTGACTTCCATTGCCTTGTTCCTCTCTTTAATCATAGGCTTTGTCTTGGGGATCTTCATTAAATTCATGGAAACACCAATTGTGAAAGCCAACAACCAGGACCTCTCCTATATCCTCCTGGTCTCCCTCCTGCTTTCCATCTTGACCTCCTTCTTGTTCATTGGCCGCCCAAGAAAGTTGATCTGCCTCCTCCAACAAACAGCCTTCAGCATTGTCTACTCAATTGCCATTTCCTCAATCTTGGCCAAAACGATTACAGTGGTGTTAGCCTTCTTGGCCACAAAACCAGGGAATAAAGTGCAGAGATGGTTGGGGAAGAGCTTGGCCAACTCCATTGTCCTTTCTTGCTCTGGTCTCCAAGCTATCATCTGCAGCATCTGGTTGGGAACATTCCCCCCCATTTCCTGACTCTGACATGCACTCCCAACTTAGAGAAATCATTTTACAATGCAATGAAGGTTCTGTCACCATGTTTTATGTTGCCCTTGGATACATGGGCTTCCTGTCTGCTGTCTGCTTCATGGTGGCTTTCCTGGCTAGGAAGCTCCCTGGGACTTTCAATGAAGCCAAGCTGATCTCCTTCAGCATGCTGGTCTTCTGCAGTGTCTGGGTGTGCTTTGTGCCTTCCTACTTGAGCACCAAAGGGAAGTACATGGTGGCAGTTCAGATCTTCTCCATCTTGGCCTCCAGTGCTGGATTGCTGGTCTGCATCTTCAGCCCCAAGTGCTACATTATTATTTTTAGGCCAGATCTGAATACCAAAGAACATTTAATGTCAAAATAAAATAAAAAAATGACTTTTACAAATTTATTATTGTTCAAAAATGTCCTTTACTGGGCTTGATTAATAGGTTTTGGTCATTTAATGATTGTTTGTTTGTTTATTAAATCTAAATGCAACAACATAAAAACTCATACAAGCATAAATGGGTGTATATCCTTATATTCATAGAGATCCTCCTTCATAGAGACTTATTGCAAGCTCAGTCTCAGTTGTCCCTTCCATGCCCATCTGTATGCTGGGGTTCTTTTTTTCTTTTAATAGTATTTTTTATTTATTTTTCAGTTTCAAAAATACAAACATTCCATTTTTTCTTCAAGCGGTGTGTCATTTTATTTTTCAGTTTCAAAAATACATTCACTTTCACATTAATATTATTTCTCTAAACTTAGAGTTAAAATACACCAAACAGCTAAATATTTACTACTGCTCTGGTGATAATACCTTATTAACTTTACATCTCATTATTCTCCTCATAGTTATGTCAACAATTATCACCTTAAGTATATCTCTATCTTATCTTATTTTCTTTTTTCTTCTCTTCTTCATTTCCAAAGTCCTTTTATATTCTCTAACCATTGATAAAATGTTTTCCATATCATATCATATCACATTTGCTCTTTCTCCTTAACTGCTAGTGTTAATCTCTTCATCTCTGCACATTCTAATATTTTCCTAATTACCTCCTCATCTATGAGGATCTCCTCCTCTTTCCAACATTGTGCAAATACAATTCTGGCTGAGGTTAATACATGAATAATTAAATATACATTCTCTTTATTATATACATCAGGTAGAATCCCTAACAGAAATAATGTTATGCTGGAGTTCTAATGGAAACAAAGGACAAACATGATAGAAGAGCCCAAGGACATTTTTTCAGTTGGCTTCTAAATTTGTGGGAATTGGTGTCCAATCTGAATAAATATTAAAGCATCTGATTTTATATAACAGGAAATCCACTGATTTAAAGAGTATCTGTGAGAGCAACAGGCTCAGCCTTACACCTGTCTAATTATATCAGATGCCATGGATTCTGTGTATTAGTAAAAAAATATATCAGAACATAAAATACTAGCTGGATGGACACAACCTTGTAGACAACCCACACTCTGTAAAGGACCTTGGAGTACTTATCTCTAATGATCTGATTGCCAGAGCCCACTTTACAACATTGCCAAAAAAGCATAAAGACCAATTCTCATCTGTCTGGAACACACACTGCATATCAAACATTAATACAAGTGAGAGAGTCCGGAGATATTTCATGAGAAGAGTCCTCCACTCTTCTGCTCACAACAGAATACTTTATACCACCAGACTTGAAATTTGGGGCTTAGATAACTTAAAACTATGTGGCCTTCGGTCTGACCTAAACATAGTACATAAAATTATCTGCTACCTGTCAATGACTACTTCAGCTTCAACTACAACAATACATGAGCACACAACAGATACAAACTGAAGGTAAACCACTCCAAACTCGGTTGCAGAAAATTCGACTTCAGCAACAGAGTTGTCAATGCCTGGAATGCACTACCCCACTCTATGGTTTCTTCCCCCAAACCCCAAAAACTTTAACCTCAGACTGTCTACAGTTGACCTCACCCTATTCCTAAGAGGTCTGTAAGGGGTGTGCATAAGCGCACCAACATGCCTACTGTTCCGGTCCTAATGTCCCCTTTTATCCATACCCATTTCATGTACTGCTAATCATGTTCCTAATTATATCTGTTATCAAAAACATGCTTGGCAAAATAAATACATAAATTAAATAAAGTATGTGGAAAGATAGATTGAAAACAGTGACGTGAGATGAGATGTCTCTTTCAGAAATAGCAGGCAGAATAAGAGACAAAGTGGAAATTCTGTCTGTCCGTCCATTTGTCTGTCTCTCTCTACACACACCCACACCTACACCACTCTCACACACACTCATATATGTATGGGGTGTGTGTGTGTGTGTGTGTGTAAATTTCTCAAGGGCCCTATTGCACTGATGAACTCATGAGGTCCTGAAAGCTCCATGATAAGATATTTCTTATCTTAACAAAAATATGCATCAAGTCATCTTTGATTTAGCCAACTTTGAAAGTATTTGAAGAAAGAGAAAAATGGACCAAATTTAGATTCTTCTGGGTTGTCCCAATAAGGAATGTCATCATGAACTCTCCTGACACTGACCTATACATGGTCACCCACACATAAAGGGATCAGAATACTAACTTCCAACCCTTTCCCTTTTATCAAATGTGGCAAAGATAGTTGACCTCTAGGCAGCTTCTGGAGAGGATGGTCTCTATTTGCAGCTCCATAGTTAACTCTGGATAGAGAAGTCTCAGGGATGCCCTTCTGCCATTTTCATCCATATATTATTTTCCCATTCACGTGGCACAATGCTGAAAGCTTCCTTTTTGGAGACCAGAGATCTATGTGGATAAGAGACAAATCTAGTCTCAGGCCATTTTCTTCTTTCTTTCCTAGATCAAGTGTTCATAGAGGGTGTTGAACTTTACAGATACTTTTTCCTTTTGGGACATGCAGAAAGGGGAAAATGATGACTCAACATTGAGGTCATGGAATTCTGAGATCTCACAAGGACTTACGATCAGTAGTGGGATTCAATTTGTTTTTACTACCACTTCTGTGGACATGGCTTGGTGGGAATGGCATGGCTTGGTGGGCATGGCTGGGGAAGGATGCTGTAAAATCTCCATTCCCTTTCCACTCCTCGGGAAATTTACTGCAAAATTGCCATTCCCTCCCCTCCCCATTAACCTGCTTTCCACTCCGTTCTCCTATGCAGGGCAACAAAAGAAGACCCAGCCAATGAGCTGGACTTGAGAGGCAGAGAATAGATGTGGCAGGGCCAGTCAGACGTGATATTTGCTGGTTCTCTGAATGACTGAAAATTTCCGCTACCGGTTCTCCAGTACTGGTCAGAACCTGCTGAATACCACCTCTGCTTATGTTGTCACCTAACACCGGCAGATAAACTAGAAAAATTCATACAGAGTGCTGCAAATGGGAATCATCTGAATGCCCTTGAAACCCATGTAGCTGGGGACAACATAAAACATTGTGGCACAGCCTTCATTGCACTGAATGATGATCTCTCCAGCTCTATTTCTATCTCTTACTTTAGAGAACAACTTACAGAGAAAATGACTTCCATATTCATCCCATCCAAGGCAAAAGTCTTCTTCCCCTTCTCTTTAGGGAATCTTGTCTCTTCTCTTCAGCCATTGTGTCTTAATATGTGAGATTCACCATAAAAACCAGGCTTGACAACCCCCCAAAACATAAAAAGCTTCAGTTTATTCAAAATATTTGCAAATATAAGAATAGGACCCCATCTCCCTAACAAGCAGGAGATGAAGACACCACCCTTAAAATGGTTACTGCTTTTATAGAATATCATATTCAGAGGATTACATAATTCTTCCTGCTATGCTTGTTCAGTGATTTTTAGGGGCTTTAGTTTCCATTGTAACTCCTCCCAGACCATTATCTCAGGGAAATTACCTCTTTCTCATGGCCATGTCTTCCTGTTATGTCCATCTAAACACAATGAATCATTAACAGGTTTCCATTGGGTCAGAATGATCTAGCATCTCTCACATTTATCTGTGAGCCAACATTAAAAAACCCTATTCCAGCCAAGAACCTGACATTTTACTTTTAAAACATAATAAGTGTTTGTTAGATATAGTTATATAACTGTACAGTAATCATTGCACGGATAAACATGGATTCTCTTCTGTTCTTCATTTTCTCAGGTGTAATTTACAATTTATAATTTCCACATATAACACTAAAACTACCTTATTTCTTATCTTGTCTTTCCCTGGCTGCATAACAATTTTAATGATAAATTAATTTACTGTCTAATAATTCTGTTGGATTTTAATTTCATTGGTCTTATACTTTATTTGTTGTGGTTTTAAATAATCTTAATTCTCAAGCAGATGCAAAGGAAGCATGTAAGTCTAATAATAACAACAATGAAAAATTACAGATTATGAGTCTAAAAAACAATTTTAGTTCCCTATTTTTATCATTAGATGCTCCTTTGTGTTTAGATCTGGTCTCAGGGTGATAATGTAGCATTTGGGGAAGAAGATACATCCCAGAAGCCCAGCACCAGAGACCAAGATGGAGAAGATCTGCACGGCCACCATGGATTTTCCTTTTCAACAAGTTAATACAAATAGCAAAGGTGATAGTGGGCATCCTTGTCTTGTACCTTTTCTTATATTGATAGAATCTGTGAATTCTCCCTCTGTCATTACCTTTGCCATTTGCTTATAGTATATGGCTTCTATTGCTTGAATAAATTTTCTGGTGAAACCCATCTGTTCCAGTAATAATAACATAAATCTCCAATTCATATTATCAAATGCTTTTTGTGCATCTAAGAATATTGAAGCCATTTGCTTTTCAGGATGTGCCTCATAATATTCCAAAGTGTCCAGAATTACTCTCATATTGTCTTTGATTTGTCTCTTTGGCAGAAATCCATTTTGATCTGGATGAATAAAGTTATTTAAGTATTTTTAAAGTCTTTCTGCCAAAATTGAAGCAAAGATTTTATAGTCTGCATTTAGTAGAGAGATAGGTCTATAATCCTTAATTTGCAATGGATCAGCGTCTTCTTTTGGAATAAGTATAATATAGGCTTCTGACCATGTTTTAGGTATCATCTTCTTTGACATAACTTCATTCATGACTTCTAGCAATGGAAGGCTCAGCGATTCTTGTAGTGTTTTATAAAATTCTGCCTGAAGCTCATCTGGACCTGGTGCTTTTCCATTATTTTGCTTCTTAAGTGCTTCAGTTAATTCCATCATTGTTATATTACTTTCTAACATTTCTTCAGTCTCTTTAGGTTGAAAATTCAAAACAGAGAAGAAAAACTAAATATATATAAAAGAGAAACCAGTCCAGTTAACAAAGCTAAGTTGCGATAGAAGTCCAGTAATAAAAAAAGTAAAAAAGTAAAAAGCCAAGCCTCACTTTGACATTTCCATTTAAAAACTGCTGCTTATTCAGTTCTGTCAAAACTTTTACAGATTTTTTCTTTTTCTTAGGGTGTCCTTTTAAGTCTCAGAATAATAGTAAAAAGAAAGTTCTCACCAAACTGACACACTTTCTCTTTCAGTCTCTTTCATTCCGGAGCCGTCCCAACTTCAGCAGCTTAATGGCTGCCTCTCTGCCGCTGGCAAAAGGGCTTCTCCTGAATCAACCAGGGACTTTGCAATGTCCCTGGGATCCACAGGATGTGCAGTTCACTCTCGCCGTCTCTATGGGACAGTTTAGGTCTGTTTGGACCGACCAGAGGCAGAGATATCGGCTGCAATCTCAGAGCCCCAAGATTGCAAGCCATACCATCGCGATGTCAGCTCCGCCCTCCCCGGATTTTCCTTTAGCACTCAAATAGGTGGGCAGGAAGGAGACCCAGATGCTGCAGAAGACCAGCATGCTAAAAGTGATCAGCTTGGCTTCATTGAAGGCCCCAGGCAGATTCCTGCCCAGGAAAGCTACTGTGAAGCAAATGATAGCAAGGAAACCCATGTAGCCGAGGACAACATAAAACATGATAACACAACTTTCATTACATTGAAGAATGATCTCCTCAGTCTGGGAGTGCAGGTCAGAGAATGGGGGAGATACTCCCAGCCACATAGCACAGATGAACATCTGAACAGCAGAACAAAAAAGAATGATAGAGTTGCCAAACTCTTCCCCAACCACCTTCTCACTCTGTTCCCTGGTTTTCTGGCCAGGAATGCCGGTAGCACTGTGATTGTTTTGGCCCACACAGAAGACACAACTACTGAGAAGACAATGCTGAATATGGTTTGTCCTAGAAGGCAGGTGGCTTCCCTTGGTTTGCGAATGAAGAGAAAAGAAGACAGGAAACAAAACAGCAAGGAAACCAGGAGGATGTAGGAGTTTGTTGTTGGCTTTGACAATTGGAGTCTCTATGTATTTTATGATTAAAATGAAGACTGTGTTTAAGAACAAGAGGAGAGCAAAGGAGACCAGGATAATGCCCAGATGTTCTTCATAAGACAGGAGAGTTATAATTTTGGGGATACATTTGACTCATTTCTCACTTGGATATTTATCATCTGGACAATTGATATATTTTTCCACACCTGAGGAACATAAACACCAATATTTCTTCACTATTATGTCCTTTTATTTTTCACAGAATACGTTCTTTGGAGAACAACTGATACTGAGAGAAAGGAAAGACCTAGAAAATAGTAAATATTGTATAAAACTATAAAACAGTTTGTTGAACACCAGCATTTGAACTTGGTCCAAGCATCCATCCTTACCTCTGTGCAGAAATAAAGTCCTGAACTCCAGTTTCCTCTGTTGGGCTTCAAGTGTTGCTTTGGAGCGTGCCAGCATTGCTAGGGATCATGTGGCTGTGGGGAATCCTGCTGCGAGCCTCTATGATGCCAGCTGGCCAGGAATGCCAGTAGCACTGTGATTGTTTTGGCCCACACAGAAGACACAACTACTGAGAAGACAATGCTGAATATGGTTTATTCTAGAAGGCAGGTGGCTTCCCTTGGTTTGTGAATGAAGAGAAAAGAAGACAGGAAACAAAACAGCAAGGAGGAAGACAAAGAGGAATGCAAGATAGACCGGGCTAAGCAGAGATAACATCTAAGCAAGGTATTCTGAACTTAAAAATATTTAGAATGTTACTCCTTTAAAAAGATTTTTAAAGTGGCAAAGAAGAGAGAAAAGGAGGGAATTGTTTTTTCTATTTTTACATTGACAGTTACAATTGGCTTTGAATATTAAAAGGAAGAAATTTAAGTAAGAAATTTGTGATAATTTATCTTGACAATAATAGGCAATTTTAAGCTGAAACTAAAGTGTTAAAAGGAAAATAAAGACTTTCTGGACACTCTAAAGCCTCTAAAAGGAGAAGAGTGGAGGAAAAAGGGTGGAACTTGGAACTTGGAAAGATCAATGGAGTGCCACCTGGAAATAAAAGGGATTAGCAGTGAAACTTTGAAAAAATCTCAAAAAGATACATTGTAACTGAAACTTTACTAAAAGATAAACAGAACCACAGAAAAGGAAAGTAGAAGAAAGAAACAAGAAGAAACAGCCTTGGATTACTTTGTGATTTTTTTTAAAAAAAATTGAATGTTGGATTTTTAATTTAAAGACAATTGGGTGGTTGTTTAAAAGTGTTTAAAATGGCATCACTCCTTGAGGAACTAAAAATGAGACTTAAAAAACAGAAAGAGGATGCAGAAGAGGGAAGAGGATCCTTTGGCTTCATATTTCAATGTTTAGAAATGGAGATTCTGAACTGTGAAAAACAACAAGAAAAGCTTGAAAAGAAAGAAGAAGAGGGGGACAAAGAAGAAAGGGGGATAAAAAAAGAGGTGAGAAAAAGGGGGGGAATAAAAAGGAGAAGTTATAAGAGACAAAAGCAGGAAATAAAGGAGTAATTAGCAGGGTTTTTTGGCTACAACTATACACAAGTGTTGGGAGGCAGATGCTCCCAATGCTAACCTTGTTCGGGTTATCACCATTCTTGCTGGATGTGGAGCTCATTGTTTGCTAATAAACCAGGCTTGAACCATCTGAATCAGCTTGTTTATTGGGGTGAATCCTCGACTCCTAGAAGACCAGCAGAGACCTCTCAATGGGATTTTTGGCTCAATGGTGCTGGGCAAAAAACACCCTGTGTCAGGCTGGACCCAAAAACTAACTCCAAGGCAAAATTAGCTGCAACCCTTAAGGCTTTCTTTCAATAAATGTAGGAATCTCCTTGTAACATAGTCCTATATGCTGGTTTTATCATATGTAACATTTATAAGGATTCTTTTTGGCAATGTTTTTTTTAAAAAACTTTTAAATATTTGGTACTTTTTGGTCTGTTAGGGTAAAGCTGGTTTGGGTGAGCAGGAACCATTGACCTGAAACCAATCTTCAAGTTTCAAAAAAATTCAGATTTGTAAATTTGAAGGACACTTCCAAAGTGACAAGTAGAAGAGAGATTTTCTCTGGCAGAAGTAACCCTGCTCAATCCACCATGTGGCTTTCTATTTCTTCCTACTTCACCCTTCAAGATCTTGTTCTTATTCTTTTCTTTTTTTTCTTTTTTCTTTTTCTTTTCTTTATTCTTTATTGGCCAAATGTGATTGGGCACACAAATAATTTGTCTTGGTGCAAATGCTCTCAGTGTACATAAAAGAAAAGATACATTCGTCAAGAATCATAAGGTACAACACTTAATGATAGTCATAGGATACAATAAGCAATCAAATCATATTAGGAAAAAGTCAATATAAATCGTTAGGATACAAGTGACAAAGTTACAGTTATACAGCCACAAGTGGGAGGAAATGGGTGATAAATTAGGCAGCATTTCACCAAGGCAGCCATCATCGGTGCCATCTTGGAATATTAATGTTCCTCCCATTATGGAACAAATTGTTGCAAACAAAGAACAACAATAAAATAGGCAAGTTTAGATCTGTCCCTATTAAAAGCGTACTGATTGAAATGATCTAGCTATATCCGATAGCATTTAATCTTGTGTCATCTATCTTCCTGAATGGAGAGGGATTCCTTTGGACAAGGAACACAGTTGTAGCAACAAACTTGCTCTCCTTCCTGATCCCATTTCACAAATCCAGGATGACAATTTTCCACACATTTGGACTGCAGCAGAGACTAAGTAGAAAAACAAGGAATGCCAAAGAAAATGTGTTAGGATGCACTATCCATGAAAAATTGTGGTTAACCTGAATATTAGACAAGGAGTCTCTGAGATTC